TGGTGTGGTATAGTGGACACCGCAACCATGTTTAGACGAACTGAGGAGGGCACCCTAGCTATTCTGTGACCATGAAATGGGATTCTCAGTCGAAACACCATAGCGAGCGGACGGGTTTTTACTTGCGCGCCGAGCAATTCAATTGTGAAAGTGCTAAATTTCCATAAGTGGAGCTAGCGAAGCGAATCGAGTGTGGAGATCAGTGGATTATAGTAGAAAAAACAACGAGTGCAGGTGTGGTTGTAACATTTGTGTAAGTGCAGCAGTACTCCAGCAATTAGCAAGTTAAGGTAAGTGCATATATTGAAATAGGCTGAAATTCACGAAAAAGGACCCTTGCCGCACGGTTTTTCTACCTGAAAAGGGTCGGGCTCTATACCCGCCCGAGCGCAACAGACCCTTTCAGACTTTGGATTACGAAACGTTGCCACTGTGAACGTTTCCCAAAAGGACAATAAAGTGTTGCCAGCGTAGAACTTTAGTGCTAAACCTATATTTGATGAACCTGAAATAAACCGAGAAAGAGTCGAGTCAGCCAAAAGGAAGCTCTGGGACAGGAGCGCAAATCAGGAGGAGGACATGGAGGAAGACATCACCCCCAAGCGGGGATCACCCATGAGGTCGCCTGTCATGAAGAAAAAGAAGGAAAGGACGGCAGAAAAGGGGATGCACAGAAGCACTTAAGCACGAACCCCAGAGCAGTACGAACAAGTCCGGGCTCTAATCGACCAGAGCATGACATCGGGCACTGAGGACGACGCATATGGCACGCCTAGTAGCCAAACCAGGCAACGCCGAAAACCGGAAAGACAGAGCTACATAAATCAGCAGCCACAGGCTCAGAAGATAACATAGAACTTCCGGCAGCTGAAGCTAAGTGGAAGGAAAGGAAACTCGGGAAAACCAACTACTATTCCACGCAGGCAATCATAGGACACGGAGTTTTTGGATCTTATCTGAAGAAGATAAAGAAACGAAACAATGATGACTGCTGGTTATGCAAAGCAGTGGACACTCCAGAGCATACAATTTTTGATTGCCAGAACTTCACAGAAATAAGAAAGGAAGCAGATGAAAAATGCGACGCCATTATAAACAAGCAAAACATCAGCGAAATCCTAACCAAAAACAAAGCACGCTGGAAAGCAGTAACAGAAATGCTGGAAGAGATAATGACAATCAAAACAGAAGAAGAAAGGAGGAGAGAAAGCAAATAATTTCTCTCTCTCGTACAACTTCCTAAACGCGGAACATCGCATCCTCGAAGTAATGCCTTATAGGCGGTTCCGAGGAATAAAAACCAATGAGGAAGGAGTTTTAGCCGGTCGATGCTTCCTGATGGAACATCATCCCGGCACACACCCAGGCGCCAGAACACCATCCTGGGGCAGTCTGTCCAACAGATTTCTTAAACCTCGTAAAAAAAAACCATGAAATGGACAAATGATCGCCGACGTGCAGCATAGCACATGGCACCCGAAGAAGAAGTATCAAATAGGTACAAAAGACATTAATTTTAAGATGGTCAGAGAGCAAGAATATTACATTGGGACGGGGTATTGGATGCTTTTCTTGAGCATCTCATACCTGCAAAAAGAGCCGAGCAAATGAGTATAGGGAAAATAGGGCAGTTTATGGAAATGAATCATCTAATCGGAAAACATATGACGTTCATTAACATATACCGGTTCTCGTTTGCTTTATGTTAGTACTTATTAAATAACTGTTTTATATTAAGGATTATGAAATTACTTTTACTATATTTAAGACTGCAACCATTCGGTTCCCCTTTTAATACCCTGAAAATTACTTAAATATAACTGAAACGTTGACCGGAGAGTGTGTATATTCTGCAGCTGCTTATTGACGGATAAACCTAGAAACCTAAGCATGCATCTTTAACAATTATCATCACGGTCGTCTTCAACCACAACGTTAATTGTAATGTCCAATACTCATTAACAACATTTTAATAAGCTAGAATAAACTTAGCAAATTAACTTAACATAAACACTAAATGTTCCACTTACTATTGCTTTTCCATATGGAATGAATTCGACAGTCATATGATCCTTAAATAATTGATAGTTTGGATAGAGCTGCCTCGTAATAAAATATACGCTGTCTGAGCAAAGCGCTTCATAGTAAACTGCCACATGTATAGATTCCTAAAAAGGAATCTTAACGTTTTATGCAATTAACAAATAATTTACATGTTACGGGAAATGTAAATAATTGGGCGTTTTATAAAATGATATGATATGACAAAATAATTAGTTATGTACAAAATATCACATTGCCCGGGCATTCTGAATAATGCTGGAAGTCCAGTATGTAATTTTAAAATATCTTTATTCGTGATTTCTCTACACACAAAAATGTTACGACAAGATATACATACAAGATATATATACAAATATAAATTTATAAATAACATACAAACCAATTTAAAAAACAGATGTGTACTTATAAAAACATGTTCACACGGAATATGAAGTCCTAGAGATTTCATTTATTAGAGCTGCTTCTACTTTCACTGGTGACATTTCGAGGTAGGAGCTTTTTTCCTTTGCGGCACTTGAACCCGTAAAATTTACAGCTACATCGACTCAGCTTTGGCCCCCTGTCTCGAATGACAATCTCGTAAACTTTTAGTGAAATCGCTGACTGGGAATTTTCTTCGGCATCAATAAAGTTTCTATTTCATAATATAAGGTGGTGACTAGTATAAAGTTGATTTAAGCTTCCATATTTTGTGCCTAATTTATTTGCCTTTAATTATACCTAAATGCCCAATATTTCTTCCATTGGTGCGACATCTGTAAACATCTGGAACCCAAACTATAACCGTGTCACTTTTTTTGGCGGCAGGGTATTTTCAGTTAGAGGGTTGAAGCATTTTTTCGGCTTACTTTTTTAGATTGCTTGCTGAAATCTTCTTAATTTTGTGAAACTTCAAGTTTCCATTTTTTCACATTGCAGTCTTCTAATAAATCTTCACAATCATCATACGTGCGTTTTTTGTGACCAGGGACTCGAAATTTAAATAAATAATAAATAGAAAATATGGTTTGGACGCATATATTTCCTTTTCAATATTATGAAAATCAGACCTTCGTTCAGGTCACTAAATTGAAGATTGATCATAACTAACAGAAGGGTAATGCATTTTATTCGTAATGTTGACTTGAACCTAGCTCTCCTAAAGATTTTAACCCTGGTTTATTTTGCAATGCATCTTCTTCTACAGGCTCTCACTTGTTTATTTTAAGCCAGCATACATGTATGTATAATGCATATGATGCGTTTCGCAGAGGTGAATAAATCATCTGCTCGCGAGTCTAGGGATCCTCTCCGACCGAAAATCGAAAAAACAAAAGGAATCGAATATAGCTAGTTCTGCTCTTTTAACATTTCTTTTAAGTCCTCCTCACAGCTCATATTAGACAAAACACACACATTACTCAGGTAAACAGCTTTTAAGGCCAAAGATAAAAATCTGTATTTCGAACATGGCCTCTTACAGAGTACAGTTGCCACTATAATGAGCTCGGTTCTTCATAACCTATGCAAAACGTAAGCCTTCAGACCATTTCCTGCTTTTATGGTCTTACAACCAACCAAGAACACAGCATATTTTCCCCGTCCTGATTCTCACGTTAGACGGAGCTCTGACTTTAAGTGTGTAAATTATCTCCCATTATCACTCTGCAAAATGATGGGCGCACTAAATATGGTAAAAATGTCCAATAGCATATTAGCTACTTTTAATTATTTT